AGGTGGCTCGGGGGGACAGGCTGGCTGCATTAAGAGAAACTAAAGAAGGAGGAAGCCCCATTCTCTCACTCCATCACACGTCTCATCTCTTTAGTCGTCTGGCTGGGGCCTAAAGTGACTTTGCCGTGATGTGACCAGGACAAACTGGGTGCGATGCCATGACGGTTCCACGAAGCGTGTGAACGTGTTTTAGCTCTTGCATGTTTCCCCGATAACTTGTATGTGTGCATGCACGACCGGGAAGGGTGTGTGCATGTGTGTGTGTGTGTGTGTGTGTCGATGGGGGGTGTAGGGGATGGTTAAGGAGGACAGTCACTTTTGATTTGGCCTCAGAAGGGTGACAGGGACTTGGAGTTCTAGTGGCATGCTTTACTGAAACAAACGTCTCTGACCACAAATAAGCGCTCACAGACTGTCAGCCTGCCTTCTGATGACATTTTCCTTTGCTTTTTTTTCCTTTTCTTTTTTTTTTTTTGCGGTGAAATTTCATAGAGGGATGAAAAGCTTTTTTCTGCTCTGTGACATCCTGAGAGCAGGCTTTAGTTTCTGTAGCCTTGGTGAGGCTGCTTTGGATGAGACAGAAAAAAAGCCTCTGCCTTTCTCTCTGTCTCTCCCTTGATTGTCTGACAACTTCATTTTACCTTACTTTCCTGTCGTGCGTCAATTGTATATTTGGGCAAAAAAAAAAAGTGGGCTATAAATCAAGGCTGTACTCACATGAAGGAGGGGGGGGGGGTGTTTGGTCCTGCTGATGGTCCAGGCTCACGAGGTAAGATGGAGTAGCTCTTTTGGGGGAGCAGAATGTCAGAAAGAAAACTGGTGAGGCTTTTGTGGGTGTTTCTGCATTACTGTATAGAGGAAAGCACTGGGATTGGTTCCTCTGGAGAATGGTTATCCGACTGGAGGCAGTCGGACACGCTGAAATTAAACGAGCCAATTAGGCAAGCAGAGAGTTCAAAGGTCAAAGCACACTCCATTACAGTTCCTCCTCTCTGCCATGCTACTCACGCTGTGCATCTTTGAGTTTGTTTAAAGCAATAAATCTGATTAGACCTCTCTGCTCCTCCTCTCAGTCCTGTGCTGTTGTTTTACCCTCCACTGATCATTGTTAATGACACCATTTAACGTGTCTTTGGGTGCACACGCTTACACCAAATAAAAAGCTAACTTTAATACTCCCTGAGAAACATGGCCTCCTGTGTCAGAGGGCAGTGCCGCTCTTTGGACACGCATTAACCACACAGGATAAAAGGTCACTATAATGAACTTTGCTCCCACTCAGACTTCATTCTCGCACAGTGGCTTATTTGAATATTAATTGTCAAGGCATTAAGTTACCTCATTCACTCACATTACAATTAAATATACTTTTGTACGTACCTCATCTAATAGGTAGCCATGCAGATAGTTTGTTTTCTGCCACCAGCTCAATAATGATTTTTGGTCTGGGACAATTTTCTACTAGGGCTGCAACTGCAACGATTATTCTTATCAGCAATTTATCAGCTGATTATCAATCATTTAATCATTTTTTCAATACATTTGTAAAATGTCCCTGTTGGAGATGTGGTCTGTAGTCCGAAATCCCAAATTCCTTTTCGACAAAGAAACTATTATTGCTTTTAGAAATTCAGACATTAGTTGCCAGTTTGTTCAGATAATCAACTAATCATTACAGCTTCATTCTCTCACATAAAAATGTCCTTGAAAAGTTATTTTTTATATTTTATGTTTTGAGTCTGCGGAGGCAGAAATCTCAAAGATGGGTATCTCAAAGCAAACGGCACAACCTGATAATACTCTGGGCCAGTGAAAGTGCTCTCTTTTATTCTGTAACTTGGGTGAACTGACCCTTAAAATTAAGTTCTCTTCAGTGGCTTGTCGTCAGCGTGTTTGGTCGAGTGCTTGTCATTGTTCTTCATTGATCGCGGGATGTTGAAAACGGTAACAAAGATGAAAACAGAGTGAGCAGGAGGACCCTGAATGCAACACTTAAGCAATGGCGGTCTTATTCCAGCTGCTGATTTTGGTATAGATGTCTTTCTGTGTGCGACCAGCAGATGCACGTCTTGAATGGGAGCGGCAGATTGGCATGTGCTGTACAGTGACCCTGTATTTCACCATTCACATTGACTGGAAAAAATAAGGAATCGCAGGCTGTTGAGGTATTTCTCAGTCAATAAATGACTTCTTCTGTGTTTTATGTGGCTCCGAGAAAGAACCTATCTCACACACTGGGCTTTACAATTGTATGTGCCAGTGGCCCTGAGAGAAGAAGGAGAGGCTGCAGTGTCTTTAAAGCTGCTTGTCTCCAAAGGTGAGAGGTGAAGACTCTCAATGCCTCCATCAGGGCATCGCAGAAAGGAAGAAATATCTCAAGGTTACACCACCAATAGATTTTTTTTTTCCTTTGAGAAATGTGTGAACTAGAGGAGAAAAACACTTGTGTCAAAACTGTCCTTTTCAGACTGGGAGCAACACAGTTATTCTGCATTCACACCTAAGTTTCTTCCTCCTCACAATTCTTTCACTAACTTCCAGTGAAAGTTTGTGCACTGATCGGACTCTTGACGCCAGCGCTCCGTCCGCTCCTTCCGCTGTCGGTCGAAGGTGTGTTTGTCCGAGTGGACTTGGGACACACTGTGGATTTATCTGATCTTACAGGCCATCAGGTTGAGCAGAGCTTTGCTAAACATGACCTGAAGTGTGCCGGCCCCCGAGCAAACGCTGCTGTCACCTTGGCCAACCCGAGCTGTCATGTCTCAGAATGGCCCATGAGAGCTGACAGCTGTGGCGTTCCCAAAACAAATCACTGCTGCGTTTGGTAACACTCTGCGTCCCCGCGATTTAGCCCTTACCGAGACGAGAGTGGGAGAGGCGGCTGCTAATGTTCTGGCTAATGCACTGCACTGTGTGTGTGTTCATCTTCTGCCTCTTCTTCTGTGTGTGTGTGTTTGTGTTTCCAAGGGCTTCTGTGATTTCTCTTTGTTTCTCCGCACCTCACTGAATGGTTCAGCATAAAGCCTAGTTTCTGCTTCTGCGTCACGTCGACGTTGTGACCTTCAGGTCATGTTTAGCAGTCTTTGAGCATTCGAAGTTCTACGTCGAGGGAACGCATTGCTCTGCAATTCACCGCCATGCCGCTAGGGGGGTGTGGCTGTCTGTTTGTGTGGTTATAGCCGAATCCTCGCTTTTTCTTCCGTAAAGAAAACAACAGTAAACAATGGCGACCGAGGTGGAGCAGCTGTATTTGGAGTTGGAGCTCATCAATATTGAAGAACAAATGCTTATATTGCAAATGTTGAAGCGCAGGTGACAGAGAAGACGTTTGCGGAGGTGGTTTTTACGACGAGGATGAAAGACCGGAAAAAACAACTGCCGGAACTTAGGTTCTGAGCGGACCAATCACAGCGCTTGCGGTCCGCGTCAACATGACGCGTAGTTAGGATTTTTTGGGGGTGCGCGTCAGGCTACGGCGTAGGGGTCCGCGTCGACGCGACGCAGAAGCATAAACTACGCTTAACGATGTTCACGTCTCCCTTTGTCCTCTGCTCTCCCTATGTTTCTCTGTGGCCTTTACCTGAAGGTTGTGTATGAGCTCAGAATTCCTTTGTCATGTGTCATATAACCATATGTTTTATCTAAACTCACCAAAAACCTACGTGCATCATAAACCCCTTTTCCACTGGTCAAAAAACCCACTCACATCTGGCCTTTGTCTGCAATGGGAATCGGTACAATGAGCATTCACTCATTCACTCTCAAAAAACTCTGCTGTAGACCCCGTTTTTAATCCACCCCCGCATTAGTGGAAACATGACACCCAGGTGAATGAGCTAATTAGCTCTTCTTCATCATTGTAGTCAAGACACTGACGCCACATGATTTGTGTGATGTTATGATTTGCATTGATCTTTTTGAATTTGGTGTTTTTTTCTGTCAGTTTCTGGCACCAAAACCCCAAAAGATTCCTTTCAGTTTTTGTGGGTTCACCTGCAATTAAAAAAAACATACACATAGCCTATATATATATATACCTGCTAATTTTGGTGCAAAAGAAGTATAAGATTAATATTCGTGAGCCCAAAATCCCCTCCAATTTTTTTCCTTTTTGCCTACATTTATTTGCTAAGAATAATAATAAGATATACCAGTGTCCCTGTAATATCGCTATTAATCTTGTCTGACAGTTGAACAGCTCCATGAATCGTCATTACACGTATTTTTCTCTGTAGTTTTCAGGAACAATCTTCACAACTCAGACCAAACCGAGCAAGATCAGAAACACTGAGGTGAAGGTTCAAGAGGAAAAGTTCCGTCTTAACTAGACACCTGAATATTCTCAGCTGAAATGAGATGAAAAAAAAAAAAAAAAAGGAACTCGGGCTGGATTATTGATAAATTTAATGGTGAAGTGGTCTTTACTCAACCAAGAGTTTTCCTCTCTCTCAATTGTTTTGTGGAAGTGGAAGGCTTTCTAACGGACATATTTAGTGAACACACACACTTGCACAGACATGAACACCCACACACCCAAATGAACCTGTCAGACGCAATTGAAACAAATGTTTTTTTCCGACTATTTGTTACCGGGCTATTTTTAGACATCAAACTGCAGCAGTTGAGATGTGGTTTCTATTGATCTCATTGTTTTTTTATGTCACAGTCATTGCTGAGATATCCTTACCCTGGCACGTCTTTAAAGGAGTGGTTCAACTGAAAAACACACACACACACACACACACACACACACACACACTCCGTTAAATTGTTTTATTGCTATTGCTACAGCCATCAACCTTATACAGTGTATGGAGACTTACCTGAATACCTGAATATGCTGCCAGAAATCTTTTTTCACTCTGTCGAAATCCATTCATTCAAATTTAATTAGCTGCTGCAGTCAAATTTCCGCACTGTAACGTTTAATAGTACAACACACTTAGAATATATCGATACATCCTCAGTTGAATACGTTTGTGTCGTCTTTTATTTCCCAGCAGACGTTTGGAGGAGAGGCTTTTGTTCAGCTACACAGATGAACAACAGGAAGGAGGACATGGAGATCTCCTCTCACTACCGTCAGCTCCTCAGAGAGCTCAATGAGCAGAGGCAGCACGGCATCCTCTGCGACGCCTGTGTCATCGTGGACGGAAAGATCTTCAAGGCCCACAAGAACGTTCTCCTGGGCTCCTCACGCTACTTCAAGACTCTTTACTGCCAGGTAAGGGGCAGCCACACATGGCACATTTGGTTAAGCACTCACTTTTCTTTCTGATCACAACAGTTTTGATCAGTGTGTTTTTTAGAGTGTTAGAAGTTGTGTTTGTCAAATAAATAAACAGGGGTGTGAATGCTCCTCTTCCCTGCAGGTTAAAAAGGGGTCAGAGCCTCACCACCAGACCACTGTCACTCATCTGGACATTGTCACGGCGACAGGTTTCAAAGCCATCCTGGACTTCATGTACTCGGCGCACCTTGCTCTCACCAGTAAAAACGTGATCGAGGTCATGTCAGCTGCCAGCTATCTGCAGATGACAGACATTGTACAGGCCTGCCACAGCTTCATCAAGGCCGCGCTGGACATCAGCATCCGCTCTGAGATGGCCGACGAACTGGCCGACTTTGAAATGGGAGCTGTTGCTGCCAGCATAGGCGGAGCAGGTGGCGGAGGTGGAGTGGGTATGACAGGAACAGGGAACGTTGCGGGAGCGGGTTTGGGTGGAGGAGCAGGAGGAGGAGGGATCGTGGGCATGGCCTCTGAAGCCCTCGCCTCCATCATGTCTGGTCGCAGCACCTCCCCTTGGCTGGCGCGACGCACCAGCCCGGCCAACTCTTCTGGGGACTCGGCCATCGCCAGCTGCCACGAGGGAGGCAGCACGTATGGCAAGGAGGACCAAGAACCACCCAAGAGCCATGAGAGCCAGGAGGAAGCCTGCCACGACTCTCAGCCCGCCTGGCCGCATGACTACAGGCCTGTCACTGTCAAAGAGGAACAGGTGTCCCCCACCTCCTCCTCCCATCCCCGGGACACTCCCAGGGGGGCAGCCCAGAGCCAGGGGGAGCAAGGGACTGGTGGTGCTGCTGGAGGAGGTGGAGAGGGACCCTGGCAACCTCTATTAGGGTCCGGGCGGAGGAAGAACAGGAAGAACAAGGACACGGTCAGACATATTACCCAGCAGGCTGAGAGGAACTGGGATAGAGAGCGGGACAGGGAGAGAGACAGGGACAGTAGGCCTGGGTCTCCTCTGCCCTCCATGCTGGCTGTTGCTGGATGGAACTACAATGGACAGGACATACCAGGTAATGACCGTCTTCTGCACATCTGTAGGCAATATAAACTAAAGTGACAATGCTGTAGATTCACGTCATCAGCAGGAATTGTGATACCATGTGTTTCCAAATAGTCCTTTTCTAGTGAATGTGTTGGTTTTATTATTAGTTAAGTGTCACAACAGCAGGTTGAATCAACTCTCAAGATTGGAAGATTGGAGGCAGTTCAAAAGAAATCAGACTTCCATGTTTGTGCTGCTGATTTGATAACCGTAAAGGTGCTTTCAGACATGAACTGAACTCCAGAGATTCTCCACACTTTCTCCAGAGGAGGTGCATGTGTGAATGTCAGGATGAGAGCCTTCGTATTATCTGCGGACACTCTCCGTTTGGCCCCCTAAAAAAAAGTCCATATGAAGTTCGTAGAATTAGATGTTAGAGCACAGTTGGGGATCCCCAGCTGGATTCCCAGCAAGCAAGTGGGGGTTTGATGAAGCTTCTAACACAGGATTGTGAGGATTTCCGGACTTTATCCGCTGGTCATGTCTGAAAATGGAATGAGATTGAAGACTTTCTTTGATTTGCTGTGCTTTGTAACACTGGCCCCTACTTAGCTAACCAGTCAATTAGTGAATGACTGGTGAGATAATGAGATTAGGTTAGTGTGTGAGTGACATTAACACCTAAACTACTGCACAGTCTAATTGATGTGTGCTTTTCTTGTGTGCATGACGCTTTACAGTGCATGTCTGCTTAATGCGCTGAATCCTGTTTGGATATTTGAATGCACGTTAGCCATCCACACCGTTTACTAGCTTTAACTGACCTCTTTACCTCCTGGGTGGTTGAGATTAGCAAGCTCCGAACACCGAACGTGTTAGGCCCAAAGTGATTATCTTAAATCTTGGATGTGTGAGGTGAAGCCAGGGCAAATGCAGATAGATAATACAGCCCTCTTCTTACTGCAGTTTACGTAGTAGACGCTCTCACATAGATGGGCAGAGGCATACACAAACAAACTCAAGAACACATATTTATTTTGAGAAAGCCTCTCTTGATCTCGCAGAAATGTTTCATGAATTCTTTTGCATTAAATAAAACACTTACCTGTGTGTGAGTGTGTGTGTGTACTTGTGTGTCTGTGTGTGCTGCGGGGCCCAAGGCGTCGATAGGTAGATCATTAAAAGTAAGAGAAGCTAATCCTGGGCGCATTAAGGGAGTTGGCTGTGAAATGGGCACACACGTCGCGCAGCGAAAGAAAACAGGATAATTGAATTGACCTGGGTCACTGCACGGATTACCAGCACGTCCTCGCCATCCTAGGCTCCTCCTTCTCTCTCTGGGGTTTAGGGAAGGACCTTCTAGAAAGGGCGAGGGGAGGGAAAAGCGATGGAGAGTGGTAGATGAGAGGGGTAATAAGAGGGAGAGACAAAAGGAAAAGATGAGGCGTTGCATCCACGAAGGCTTATGAGGGTTTGTCTGTTTGTGCCCTAAGTTCCAGATATGATCTGGCTGTCAGATATTGTTACGCTTCTAAAGAACAACTTAGCTCCAGAGTCTCACACACACACACACACACACACATATAACCACAAACACCTTCTAAATACACGTCTCTATTAAGTGTCTTTTCCGGTTGCATGCTTCTGGTCTATGGTAGAAGGTAGGGTTTAAGTCTGGCTGTGGCCAAGCAGGTATTACACAGAGGGTGTTTTCTCACCTAAAGGTTAGAGGAAGTGTAGTGTTGCTGTTGGAGAAGACTCACCTGGTGCCGGCCCAAAAAAATCCTCCATTTACACCCACATTATGCTTCAGGGTTGGTCTCACATTGGAGGAGAAGTGGGGGAAGGAAGGGACGAGTATTTGGACCTCCTTCAGACCTTGCTACCATTTAGCAGTAAAAGATCATGTTACCAGTGGCCTGACGTGACGTTTAAGTCTGACAACTTATGACAGTGAGGATCTGTTTCATTAGTGTGTGTTGAGTCAGTTTGCAGGAATTGGTTTCTGTGTGTTTAGCGAAGGTTTGGGGGGGATTATCGGAGCAGGTTTAGTGAGGTAGAGGGGG